AAAAAAAAAAAAGACCAGGCTTGCTGGATGATAGAGTCTGGTGAGACCCCTGAGACTGTGGCCCCTGGTTACCCTTCAGGTCTGGAACTGAACTCACTCCTGTGGCTTCCAGCCAAACAATAGACAGGCATACGGGATGAACATTTACATCAGGTAGATACACTCCTTGGAGGGATCAGTCGTGGAAGAACAGAAGGGTAGTGTTTACACAGGGAGACAGCTGTGTGTGTGGCAGGGGCAGGAGTACATGGGAGAGAAGGACTCAAAGAAGAGGTAACTACGGGGAGGAAGTGGGAAGAGCTATTACATTGTGGGGAACTGCAGTCAATATCATGAAACAAAATGTGTATGAACTCCTGTGTGGAAAATGAATTTGCTCTGTAGACTTTCACCCAAATCACAATAAAAATTTTAGAAAAGAAACCATATGGAGCACAATTCTACTGTGACACACACGGGATCACTGGGAATCCAGTCAACTCCACGGCAACTGCATTATTGTTGCCTTTACCCTACGATGGCAGAGTTGAGTAGTCGTGACAGAGTCCATATATGGTCTGCAAAGCTGAAGATAATTCCTGTCTAGCCCTTTATAGAAAATGTGCTGATCCCTGCTTTAGACAAATGAGTTGTACGTGGGTTTTTTATTTGTGTGTGTGCAAAGTCACAGGGAAGGGACTGATTTCAACCCCATGACTCTGGTACTATTGTCATCTCACTTTAAAAACCAATCGTCACTGAGTCAACTCTGACTGACGGTGACCCCATGTTGTGTCAGCCTGGAACTGTGTCCATAGGCTTTTCAGTGGCTGATTTTTCAGAAGACCACCCAAATGTTGGAGCAGAAATTAAGAGATTTGTTTAAGACCACACAGCGGGTTGGGGTAGAGCAGTGTTTGGGCCCGGACAGATCTGTGCTCCTTACGTTGTTGTTATTGTTGTTGCTGAGAGCTGTCAAGTCATTTACAACTGACAGTGACCCTTTGTGACAGAGTAGAACTGCCCCACAAGGTTTTGTTGGCTGTAATCTTTATTGAAGCAGATCACCATGTATTTCCCATGTGGAGTCATGGGGTGGGTTTGAACCACCAACCTTTTTGGTTAGCAGTTCAGTGCTTAACCATTTGCACCACCAGGGAGGGCTCCTTTGTGCTCCTTATGTTGTTGTTGTTGTTATGTGCTGTCGAGTCGGACCCGACCCATAGCGACCCCTCCTTCGGTTTCTGAGCCAATATCACTACAGAAGTAGATTGCCCCATCTTCCTTCCGAGGAGTGGCTGGTGGGTTTGAACCGCCAGCCTTCTGGTTAGCAGTCAAGTGCCTTAGCCACTATGCTACCAGAGCTCCCTGTGCTCCTTATAAGGCACTGCTTTTCTTGGAAACCCAAGTGACTGAGGATCTCAGCTTCCTGAATTCCCGGAATCCTCAGGAGTGAGAGATTGAGTATACAAAGGGACAATGGCCAGACTGTAGCTAACAACAGAACTCTGACCCACAGCCTTTGCAGCAACCAGTCCAGGAAGGCAAACTACAATATCTGCAGCAATTGGCCCCAAACTGCCAGGACTTGGCCAGTAACTGCTAACTTCTCTAATTTTTGCCTCTCCTCCCTGCTTCCAACTTAAAACCAACCAACCAAAGCCCAAAACTATGCACTCCTCTAACTAATCACATTCAGGATGCACCACTTGTAGTTAGCCTGCTTCCAGCTTCCCCACCCCCACCACTGCTAATCAAGGCATACATGAACTGAAAGAAAAACAACCAGCCCTCTTGCCATCAAGTCAATTCTGACTCATAGTTGACCCTACAGGACAGAGTACTGCCTGTCTACTCTGGGGTTTCCAAGGCTGTAATAATAACAACAACAACAACAACCATTACAGAAATAAACTGCTACATCTTTCTCCCATGGAGCAGCTGGTGGGTTCCAACTGCAGACCTTTCAGTTAGCAGTCCAAGCATTTAACCACTGTGCCACTAAAGCTCCTTAGACGTGCACAAGGCCTTTTCTTCTCTCCACTGTAAAGGTTCCATCTCCCCTGCCCGGATTAATGGTGGTCCAGTCCCTTGCTATGGCAAGCCTCAGCTACATAGCCTTTGCTTGTTCGCACTTGGGTGGTCTTTGTTTATTTCCACAGGGGGCCATGAGCTTTGAGACTTAAACTGTTTTTAGCTAATATTGAGTGAGACCTCAGCTGATATCCAGGTGACAATGTCTGCCTGCCCATGCCCATTCATTGTGGTCCTTCCTCTGTGCCAGGTCCATGCCAGGCCCTGCTGAGGACATAGGCTTGACCCTCTGCGCCCCCAGTATGAGGGGACAGGCGCAGACATACATTCAGCCCACACAAGGGAAGCTTCAGGGTGGGGGGAGATTAACCGGTCCTGAAAAGCCTTTAATGGTTTGATGCTTGTGGGTCCCCTCCTCCATTGTACCTTCTCGGCCAGGGAGTTAAAATTCTGGCCTGACTCCTGTACCACGTAGCCGAGCTTGAAGACAGGGCACAGCGGATGGGTGGTCTTGTGATACAGGCAGGTTTTCATGTAGGTGGCATCCACCTCCTCCACCAGGTTGCGTCTGTTGGGGCAGAGGGCATTGGCGGCCACAGTGTGCCAGCTGGGAGGGTGCCCACCAAGCCCCAAGCTCTGGGAATCCCTCCTGGACTCCAAATCGCCTACCCATGAGCCCTTGGAAACGGAAAGCAGCCCACCCCTGAGGCCAAGCCCAGGCTTCTGCCAGGAGTGAAACTACCAGGAATGGAGGAAGTCAGGCAGTGGAGGCCAGCTCAAGCACCCCGAGAGCCGCCTGCATCTCTGCTGCATTTCCCACGAACCTGTTGACCTTGAAGCGTGGAAAGCTGATGCTGTTCTTGATGAAGAGCGTGAAGTTCTCGGCCTCCTGGAGAAGGGCGGGGCTGGAGGAGAGCTCACTCACTCACTGCCCTTCCCCAGGAGGCTCTGTGTGCCCCACACAGAGCTTCACATGGTGAGGGTGGGTTGGGGGCGGGTGCATATGAGATCATCCGGTGGGGGGATGAGTGTGTTGTAAGGTGGACTCCCAGGCCCCTTGAGTAGGGATCAGGGGACAATCTGGCCTGGGCCTCACAGATAGGGTGGGGTGGGCGTCAGACATAGGGAGGCTAGATCCTTCCCAGAGCACAGATCCACATGCCCCTCTATCTGAGCTGGGGACCCTGCTCCCTGGAAGGACAGGGTGTTACCGAGGAACGTTGTCATCCACCTCCACAGGGCACCAGCCGAAGATCTCACAGGTGCGCACAGTGCTGTTGAAGGCCACACACTTGCCTGTGCGGATACCTAGAGCAAGGGAGGGAGGTCTGAGTGCCCACCCCAAGTTGGGGTGCAGAGGAGACCCCCATGACCCACCCTCTAGAACCTGAGGAATGCAGCACCCCAGGGAAGGAGCCTGAGGACACATGTGGCTGGCTCTGGGAGAGGGCAGACCAAGGTCAAGGTGGCAAGAGGTGACAAGAACAGGAAGGATTTCCTGGGGAGGGTACCTGGCGTATGGAGAGAGGCAGGTCAGTGGAAGGTGGCCCTGAAGGGCCACTGGACTTGGAACTGAGAAGGGCCGTGGAGGCTGACCTTACCTTGGGCCTTCCTCTCAGCCTTCCCGGGGGTGCAGCCGCTGTCATCTGTGCATGTGCCCCCTTCTGGGTGCTGGGAAAGGGGAGAGCTGCTGGCCCCAGACCTCTTGGGTGGGGTCCTGAGAAGAGTCCTTCCCAGCCCCAAGGCCTTAGTGAGGGTATGAGGCAGAGTCTCTGACCCCTTTAGGGGTGATCCTGGCTCACAACCTCTTCATCTAACCCCCTTCCATACTGCTCTGTCGAGAGCCCCACTGTCTCTTGGCCACTGTCAGCCAGGGCAGGAAAGTGAGAATGGGTGGGCACTAAGGCCTAACATCCACCTCGGTATATGGAGGGGAGGAGGGAAAGTTCTCAGCACTGCCAATGACTGACTGACTGTTACTTTGCATGACTCTATGTCAGAAATTCTACCATTGGAGTCCCTGGGTGGTACAAACACCATTGGACTGCTAACCAAAAGGTTGTCAGATGGAGTCAACCCAGAGGTGCCTCGGAAGAAAGGGCTAGTGATCGCCTTCCAAAAAATCAGCTACTGGAAACCCTACAGAGCCATGAGTCAGTGATGACTCCCCAGTAACTGGTTGGCCTGAAATCCCACCACTGTGGCCCCTGCGGAAAGCCTCTCTGGCTTCACCTCCAGTGCCTGAGGGGACCTCCTCTCTTATGCTGATTTCCCTGTAGGTCCAAGAAGGGGGAGCAGTAGTCCTCACCTCTGCACAGTGGCCTTGAGCCTGCTGGGGAGTCAAGATGAAATTGGTCATGACCACAAAGGAGCTGTCCCCCTGGAAGTGAGGGACAGGGGAGGATGGAACAGGGCTGTGAGCTGGGAGAGCAACCCAAGAACCTGAACACTGCCCCAGCCGGCCCCTAGAGCTCCCCTCCAGTAGCCTCCATATCCCAGGATGTCAGTTTGGGAGTGGCATTACAAAGCCACTCTGCCAGGAAAACAAATTCACAGGGAAACCGAGGCCCAGAGAGATGGACTGGAAGTGGACTAGTCCCCAAGGGAGGCTGGCAGAGCCCGACCTAGTTCTAGGCCAGGCCTGTAGGTAGAAAATATATTCCAAATCAGCTCACCTGGGCTGGGAAGACGTAGTCAGCCACGTCCCAGACCTGGGGCCTCCGGCCTGGGAGCTGGGTCACAGCCAGGCCCTTGAGTTTCACAGACACGCTACTGATGAGGCCGCTTGAGGTCTGGTAGCCCTTCTCGTAGACAAACACCCATCTGCAGGGGGTAGAGGGGGCAGAAGGGAGTTGTGGTTCTGGGCCAGGGCTGGGAGGCAGCATTGCGGCCATATGGGCCTCTACCCTGGGTAGCGTAAAGGTTAAGCAATCAACTACTCACCAAAAGATGGATGGTTTGAACCCACCCAGAGGAACCTTGAAAGAAAAGCCCAATGATCTGCTTCTGAAAGGTCGGTCACAGCCTTCAAAACCCTACGGAGTGCAGTTCTACTCTATAACACAAGGGGTCACCATGGGTCAGGATCTTCTTCAAGTATCTTAGTTTTTCAGTGCTGTTGTAACAGAAATACCACAAGGGGTGGCTTTAATGAACAGAAATTGATTTCCTCACAATTTAGGATTCTAGAAGTCTGAATTCAGGGCGTCAGCTCCAGGAGAAGGCTCTCTCTGTCTGCTCTAGGGGGCAATTCTCGTCTTGGCTTCTCGCCTATTCTTCTTGACATTCCTGGAGATCTCCACAGGGCATCTATCTCTCCGCCATTTGTGTTTGCTGGCTTCTGTGCCTAATCCCCTCTTTTTATATCTCAAAAGTGATTGGGTTTAAGACACACTCTACACTGAAACGGCATTAACATAACAAAAGCTCTGGTACCAAATGGGGTTTTAAAAAAATATTGTATTGTGATTTTGGAGAAAATTTACATAGCAAATTAGGTTCTCATTTAACAATTTCTATGCGTATTATTCAGGAGCTCTGGTAGCATAGTGGCTAAGACACTTGCCTGCTAACCAGAAGGCTGGTGGTTCAAACCCACCAGCCACTCCTCGGAAGGAAGGTTGGGCAATCCTACTTCCTTAGTGATACTGCCTCGGAAACCCAAGGAGGGGTTGCTATGAGTCGGATTTGACTCGACGGCACATAACAACAACAACAACAATGCGTATTATTCAGTGACGTTGGTTACACTTCTCACAGTGTGTCAGCATTCTCATTATTTCCATTCTGGTGTTTCTGTTTCTGTTGATGTAGTGTCCTTGTTCCCCCTTACCTTCTCATCCTTGGTCTAGTGTAAATGTTGACCATTATCCAAATAGGATTCTATCTACAGGTATAGGGGTTAGGATTCCAACATACATTTTGGGGGAACACAATTCAGTCCATAACACAACAGCAACTAGTTCTGGCCTTTTCTGGCACCAGTGGGACATTTGGTGTCCTTTCTCTCCCCCAAATGCCTTCCTGAACCAGTCTCTGCTCCTAAAGCTACCTCATGGGCTGGATGCACCATTCTTTTCACTCTGAAAATACTCATTCGTTAGAAGACCCAGTGAATGGCTCTTTCAGATGCTTTCCAAGAGCAGGGCTTGCTGGGGCTTGGAGGCAATGGTCTAGAAGCCAAGCTTTTCAGAGCCCAGCCCTCTTTCTTTCCTAAGGTCCTGCCATAAACAAACAGCAGAGTGCAATGGCTGAGAGCTGTGTGGTTTTGGGTAAGCTATTCAATCTCTCCATGCCTCAGTTTCCTCATCTGTAAAATAGGCATAATCACAGTAGCCGTAGTGTCGATATCAGATTGTTGTGAGTTAAATGAGTTAATAAGTGTTAAAGTACTTAGAATAGGGACTGACATCAAGTAAGTGCTAAAAAGAAAACCAGTTGCCATTAAATCGATCTTCACTCATGGCAACCCCATGTGTGTCAGAGTAGAACTGTGCCCCGTAGGGCTTTTAATGGCTGATTTTTCTGAAGTAGATTGGCAGGCCTTTCTTCTGTGGTGCCTCTGAGTGGACTAGAACCCCAACCTTTCAGTTATGCCCGAGTGCTTCACTATTGGCACCACCAGGGACTCCTGGGTGTGTTACATGCTGTTCTTAGGTGGCATTGGGTTAGTTTGACTCATAATGACCCTGCGTAGAAGATAATCGAGCACTGCCCAGTCCTGCGCCATCCTCACAATTGTTGCCATACTTGAGCTCCTTGTTGCAGCCACTGTGTCAGTCCATCTCACTGAGGGTCTTCCTCTTTTTCACATGATATCCTTTCCAGGGACTGGTCCCTCCTGATAACATATCCAAGGCATGTGAGACAAAGCCTCTCTGTCTTTGCTTGTGAGGAGCATTCTGGCTGTATTTTTCTCCAAGACAGATTTGTTTGCTCTCTGGCAGTCCATGACATATTTAGTATTCTTCACGAACACCATAAATCAAAGGCATCAATTCTTCCATTTCCTTATTCGCTGTTCAGCTTTTGCATGTATATGAGGTGCTAGAAAATACCATGGCTTGAGTTAGGTGCACCTTAGTCCTCAAAGTGACATCTTTGCTTTTTAACACTTTAAAGAGGACTTTTGGAGCAGATTTGTCCAATGCAATGTCTTGTCCTTTGATTTCTTGACTGCTGCTTTGATGGGCATTGACTGTGGATCCAAGTAAAATGAAATCCTTGCCAACTTCAATCTTTTCTCTGTTTATGCTTATTGGTCTGTTTGTGAGCATTTTTGTTTTTTTTTATGTTGAGGTGTAATCCAAAGGCTGTCGTCTTTGACCTTCATCATTATGTGGTTCAAGTCCTGCTCACTTTCAGCAACCAAGGCTATGTGATCTGCATATCACAGGTTGTTAATGAGTCCTCCTCCAATCTTGATGCCCCATTCTTCTTCAGATAGTCCACCTTCTTGGATTATTTGCTTAGCATACATATTGAATAAATATGAAAAGACACAACCTTGATGCACACCTTTCCTGATTTAAAATCACGTAGTATCCCCTTGTTCTGTTTGAATGACTGCCTCTTGGCCTATATACAGGTTCCTGATGAGCACAATTGAATGTTCTGGAATTCCCATTCTTCACAATGTTACTTAAAATTTGTTATGTTCCACACTGTCAGATGCCTTTGCATAGTCAATAAAACACAGGTAAGCATCTTTCTGGTATTCTTTGCTTTCAGCCAACATCCATCTGACAACAGCAATGATATCCTTCGTTCTACATCCTCTTCTGAATCCTGTTTGAATTTCTGGCAGTTCTCTGTTGATGAACTGCTGTGACAATTTTTGAATTATCTTAGCAAAACTTTACTTGTGTGTCATATTAATTATATTGTTTGATAACACATTCTGTTGGGTCATCTTTCTTTGGAATGGGCACAAATATGGATCTCTTCTAGTTGGTTGGTCAGGCAGCTGTCTTCTAAATTTCTTGGAATAGACAGTGAACACTTCCAGCATCGCATCCATTTGTTTAAACATCTCAATTGGTATTCGATCAGTTCCTGTTTTGTTTCTCACCAGTGCCTTCAGTACACCTTAGACTTCTTCCTTCAATATCATATCTTGATCTTATGCTACCTCCTGAAATGATTGAATATTGACCAATTCTTTTTGGTACAGTAATTCTGTGTATTCCTTCCATCTTCTTTTGATGCTTCCCGCATTGTTAAATATTGTGCCCATAGAATCTTTATATATTGCAATTCAAGACTTGAATATTTTTTCAGTTCTTTCAGCTTGAGAAATGCAGAGCATGCTCTTCCCTTTTGGTTTTCTAACTCCAAGGCTTTGCACATTATAATACTTTCCATTGTCTTTTGGAGCTGCCCTTTGAAATCTTCTGTTCAGCTTTTATCTCTCCATTTCTTCCATTTGCTTTAGCTACTCTCCACTCAAGAGCAAGTTTCAGAGTATTTTCTGGCAACTATTTTAGTCTTTTCATTCTTTGCTGTCTTTTTAATGACCTTTTTCTTTCTTTATATATAATGTCCTTGATGCTATCCCACAACTCATCTGGTCTTTGATTATTAGTGTTCAAGGTCAAGACTGATCAAATCTGTTCTTGAAATGGTCTCTAAATTCAGATAGGATTTACTCAAGATTGTACTTTGGCTCTTGTGGACTTGCTTTAATTTTCTTCAGCTTCACCTTGAACTTAATTGATGATCTGTTCTGCAGTTGTCCCTTGGCCTTGTTTTAACCAATGATACTGCACTTCTCCATTGTCTCTGCCCATAGATGTAGTCAATTTGATTCCTGTGTATTCCATCCAGCGGGGTCCATAGCAAGTCACTATTTATGTTATTGAAAAAAGGTATTTGCAACAAATAAGTCATTGGGCTTGCAAAATTTTATCATGAGATCTCCAGTGTTGTTTCTATCACTTAGGATTTATTTTCCAACTACTGATCTTTTTTCTTTGTTTCCAACTTTCACATTCTAATCACTAGTAATTATTGATACTTCTTGATTGCATGCTTGATCAATTTCAGACTGCAGAAGTTGGTAAAAATCTTCAATTCTTCATCATTGGCATTAGTGTGGTCCTAAATTTGAATAATAGTTGTAGCAACTGGTCTTTCTCATAAGCATATGGATATTATCCTATCATTGACAGCATTGTACTTCAGTACAGATCTTGAAATGTTCTTTATGATAATGAATACGACATCATTCCTGTTCAATATGTCATTCCTGGCATAGTACACAATATGATTATCTGATTCAAAATGGCCAATACCGGTCCATTTCAGCTTCCTAATGCCTGGGAATCGATCTTTATGCATTCCATTTCATTTTTGATGACTTCCAATTTTCTTAGATTCATACTTTGTACATTCCACATTCCGGTTGTTGATGGATATTTGAAGCTGTTTCTTCTCATTTTGAGTCATGGCACATCAGCAAGTCAAGGTCCCCAAAGCTTTACTCCATCCATGTCATTAGGGTTGACTCTACTTTGAGGAGGCAGCTCTTCCCCGTTGTATTTTGAGTGGGGCTCATCTCCTGGGACTGTATCAGACAGTGTTCTGCTGCTATCCATAAGGTTTCCACTGGCCAGTTTTTTCAGAAGTGGATAGCCAGGTCCTTCTTCCTAGTTTGTCTTAGTCTGGAAGCTCCATTGAAACCTGTCCACCATGGGTGACCCTGCTGGTATTTGAAATACTAGTGGCATAGCTTTCAGAATTGCAGCAACATGCAAACCACCACAGTATGACAGACTGATAGATGAGCGGTTGGAAGTGTTATATTTCAGCCATACTGGTGGGGC